GAGGCCACCTGCCCCGCTGCCCCGTGGTGCGCGGCTACCAGCCCCGGATGCGGCAGCCCCGACGGCATGTTCATGGCGGCCGGGTGCGAGAGGTGGCCCAGACCGTGCATGTGAGAGTGTGGGTGGGCCGAGGTGGAGATGAGGCTGCCGCCGCCTCCGCCGCCGCCGCCGCCGCCCCCGCCGCTGCCGGCCCCGCCGCCGCCGCCGCCCGCCCCGTCGTGGCCGCCACCGCCGCCGCCTCCGCCGCCGCCTCCGCCGGGCATGAGCGCGAGGGACGGGGAGGTGATGTGGTCGAGGAGGTCGCCGGGCTCCAGCGCCTGGTGATGGTGGTGGTGGTGGTGATGGTGGTGTGCCAGGGGCACGGTGGAGGTGGAGGTGCAGGGCACGCTGTTCATGGTGTGGTACGTGGCGTCGGGCTTGAACGGGTGGCTCTTGCCCTGAGAGACAGCGATGTCGACGGCGGCCAGAGCCTCGGCCCGCGCCAGCAAAGTCTCATCGAGGCTGGCGAAGATATTGCTCTGCAGCTGCAGGAGACACAAAACAGAGCGGGGTGCAGGGAGAGGAGGGCAAGGGGGCAGAGATGGGGCAAAGCGCGGAGGGGGAAGGGACAGGCGGAGGAGACCGTGGGGTTGAGGGAGCGCCGTGGGAAAGGAGGGGGAAAGTCGAGGGAGGGGAGAGAGAGGTGGGCAAAGTTGGGGTGACCGCACGGGCGGAGAGCCGACAGTAGGATGAGTGTGTAAAGGTGCACGGGGTGGTGGGGGAGTCAAGAGGTTGGGAAAGGGTGGTATAGCAGACGATAGAACGGGGAAGTGAGGAGAAACAGGGGATGGGGTAGAATAATGGAGGGGGGAGTGCGGGGAGCGGAGGGGGGGGGCAAGCGAGGAGAGAGAGCAAAAGAGGAAAAGAAGAAGCAAAGAGTAGAAAGGGCAGGAAGCAAGGGGGAATCCGAAAAGGAGAGGAGGAGGGAGTGAAGGGGAAAAATAAATTAAAAGGAGGGAAATGGAACGAAAGGAGAAAAGAAAGGAGGAGAAGAAACGGATCTGTAACTCTCAGCTGGGGAATTGTGTCAAACACAAGAGCACATAAAACGCATTCCTTTTCAGAGGCCGAGTCATAAAAATTAATACAGAAAGTGGATGAAGTCGGAGACTCGTGTGAACACCGCTTTCAAAAAAGATCACAGGCGCTCAGATGATTGCAGAGGAAGACATGAAAAAAACATTAAGCGCCGCTTGTCAAAATGTGCCTCGCAGCGTTTTTTATTAATGCACATACACATACATGCAGTATACAGAAAAGAGAGAGAGAGAGAGAGAAAGAAAGAAAAGTGTGTGCGTATGTGTAAAAGAGAGAAAGAAAGAAAGAAGAGAGCTGCAGCTATCTGTCCCTTACCGGTGGAGTTGGTAGACATGCTCTTCTTATTGCTTCCGAGCTGGAATGTAGAGTGGGGTATTTGTGCTCAGGTAGGGTGGGATGCATGGCAAAATGCGGCTGTTTGCTGTTCATGGACATCATCTTGAAGGCTTGGCATGTAAATCCACAAACACTCCTAAAGTCGGGAGAAAAGTGCTCTCCGGGCTCTCTCCTCCCGCCGGGGGAAGCCGCTGACAGCGGCGGGCGGCGGTGACGGAGCCGGTGGTGGCGGCGGTGCCGCAGCGGACCCTGCCCCCGCCGCCGCTGCTGCCGCGGTGGCCGGGGCTGGGGTGGGTGGGCGAGCGAGCGGCGAGGCTCCCTCCGGCCCCCGCCGTCTCCCTCGCTCCCTCCCTCCCTCTCTCTCTCAGTCCTCTGCCTGCCGCTGCCCGGCGCCGGGCGCGCTGCGCTGCGCTCTGCCCGCACCTGAGCCCCGCATCCCGTGGCTACCGCCGGGCGGGCTCTCGCGAGAGCGCGGCTCCGGCTTTGACAGACATCAGCTGTCTCCCCCCCCTTCCCCTTCTCCCTCCTCCTTTTCCTCCTCCTCCTCCTCCTCCTCCTCCTCCTCCTTCTCCTCCTCCTTTTCCTCCCGCCGCCCCCGGTCCCTGCCTCCCCGCGCCTTGTTGCATTTCCCGCAGCCCTCGCCCGTCTCGCCGGGGCGGCGGCGGCGGGGCCGCTCTTATAGCGAACGACACCGAGCACCGGGCGGCTGCGGCACCTGTGGCTGCCACACGTGCGCGCTGCGCGGCCGCCGGCGCGGCCCGGGGCGCCCCGATGGGGCGGGGATGGGCGGGGTGCGGGGCAGGGCGCCCCTTCTCTGCCCTCGGAGCGGCGCGGGGAACCGGCCTGGCCCCCGGCGCTGAAACACAAAGGTGCGCTGCCCCTCCGCGCTGAGGAGCCCCGCCACAGAAAAGGG